CTTGACCCCAGGAGAAGACCAGCTACAGAGGTCTGCACGGGATTGGAATTTTCTCTGCAGGGAAAGAGCAATTAAAAGGTTATTTAAGTGCCAGAGCTCTGGGGGAAGGGCATAGAGAAGAAACACACCATCAGTTTTTTGATGTTGGCAATTCTCAGCTTTATTCCATACAGCTAGACTGTCCAGCTTAGGACCTGGATCTGTGGCTCATATGCGGTCCTCTCCTTAGATATTTCACTAGCGTTTTACCTTTCGTACAAATGCTTATTCCTTTAGATTTGTTGGAATAGATTTTAAAAATCTCTCTAGGGCTTCGCTGGTGGCGCAGTGGTTGAGAGTCCGCCTGCCGATGCAGGGGACATGGGTTTGTGCTCCGGTCCGGGAAGATCCCACATGCCGCGGAGCGGCTGGGCCCGTGAGCCATGGCTGCTGAGCCTGCGCGTCCGGAGCCTGTGCTCCGCAACGGGAGAGGCCACAACAGTGAGAGGCCCACGTACCACAAAGAAAAAAAAAAAAAAAAACTCTCTAAAAATCAGAGCATCGTCACGACGTTCCAAGGCTCCTTTTCCCCCCACCATGATCAATGCTGACATTCACCTCAACTTCATTCCTTGGTCTGTTGTATATAATATTCATGACCTACGGGAAGAGGGCACACCCCTTCTTGTGGAGGTCAACCTTGGCCATATAACGGGGCTGACTTTGGTCAATGAAACGTGAGTGGAAGTGGCTCCTGTCCCTCCGAGAGGAAGCTTTAAGAATCCCCAGGTCCCTCTTGCCTCTGCCACAAGACAGCCGTGATTCGGATGGTGGCCGGTCCATCAGCCCAGGGTCCTGAGACCAGAGCGAGAGCTCACCCAGAATGGACATGACATGTGAGTGAGAAATAGCCCTTTCATGTCCTAAGTCACTGAAATTTAAGAGTGGCTTGTCATCTCAGTGTAACCTAGCCAAAAATGACTGCTTGTAAGGTCCTAGCTTGTATCTGTGAATTTAATTTTCCACTGAAGCACCTCTCAAGTCCTTTGGTTTCCAGTCTTATTTTACTCAGACTTTAAATTTTTATCTATCTACCTACCTTTCTACCTATCTATCTATATTCGGACTTTTTAAAATTCAGGAATGGATATTGAATTTTATCAAATGTCTTTTGTAGCATCTCTGGTTATCATAATATGGCCTATTTCCCTACAAGCTATTAATTTGCTGACTTGGACTACTCGATTTTTAAATATCGAACCATCCTTATATTCCTGAGGTGATCGCATCGGGTCACAGTGGCTGCTGAGTTCTATACGCTCAGGTGCTATGTGTGTTTGCTTTTTAATCTTTTTCCTTAATAAGATTAGATGGTGGTTTATCTTGTGTTTTTAATTTTCCCAAGGAAGCAACCCATGCTTTTATTAGCTTCATTTTTCCCAAGTAATTTATACTTTTTATGTCTGAATTGGAATTCCCTCTGGATTGGAATCTCGCGGGAAAGGGCACGAGCAATGGACTGTCACAGCATCCCAGGTGAGTGCTTCTAATTCAAGGTGTCTGAGAAACATGGCTGTAGTGTTATCACAAGTGGTTTCATCTGCCATTTGCTAGATAATCTGCTATTCAGCTTGGACTCAAGAGTCATTGCATTTCTAGGGTATAGATTTTCTACTTTTAGTGCATTATATATATATATATATATATAAAATCAACTGAGCTACGTTATTAACTATGAGGTCTTCTATGTACTTATTTTTTGCCTGCTTGGTTTGTCATGGGTAGAGGGTGGTAAGAATAAGGACACTTGTTACCATTCTGTAAATCTATTTTTCTCGGTATTCACTGCAGTTCTTTATGAAATTGGATGCTAGTTAAAAAAAAATTTGTAATGCATTCCCATTGCAATTAGATTTTTATTCTGGATATGCCTGATGTAAATGTTTCTAATCCTGCTTGCTTTCTTTTTGAGTTTCTCTCTTCTATAAATAAGGTGAGTTTTTATGTATCACATCATTCAAAAAAGTATTAGGTTCCCCACCCCCCCACCCCCCACCCCACAGTGTGTGTGAAAAGGCATAAAGGCAACTTCTTCCATCCTTGTCCCATCACGGGACTGGCTCATGTGGACTGCAGCATGCATCCCCCGACCCTCCAGCTCGCCATCCTTCTTAGTTTCTTATGCATCTATAAATGAATGAGAATATAGATACATTTTTCTACATGAGAGTTCCCCCTCCCCCATATTGGTAACATGCTCAGTCATGAATGAGACACATCTTTATATTAACCTGTATACCATTTATTGGATATAATATGCGTAACATTGACTTTTTTCTATGGAAAAGCAGGTTGTGTTACCTGTAGACCCCCAATATGAGAAATGTGTACAAAGGTAACAGACTGTAACATAAAAAGGTATGTGAAAAAAATTAGCAAACCAAAGCATGATAAATGGATGAAGCACTATAAAAATGAATGTACTGGTTTAGTAGCTTTGTACTGTGCTGCATAGCCTGTAGCCAAGTTTTACAGAGTTATACTTATGTGCCACACACATTCAAACAATGCACCTCCCTTAAAACCTCCCCGCTTGACCTGATAGACGGTACAAGAGCGCAGTGAGCTCTGATGCTACTTGTCCTGCTTGGACTCTTCGAGGGTTTTCTCTTTCTAGTTTGATATATTTTTTCTATCACTGTCCTTCCTACTTAAGTACTTGCTTATGTAGGCCATGAACATAGACATCATTCCACTTCTTTGTAAAACTAAAATGATCACATGAGATTTATCCTTTTATTCTGGATTTACAGTGTGCTAAATTGAGAACTAAAAAATTATCTTATGGAAGGAGAATCACAGGGAGAATACAGGACATGTGTTTTGGAGATGATATGGAAACATCAGGGTTGGTTACAGAGGATTGAACCTGGAAGGGCCAAATCACATTGAGGATTCCTTTAACTGTGTGTTAAATCTTATGGCTGTCACAATCCACTATTGAATATTATGACAATTTTATATGCAGTGTTTCTTCTCCTAATTTTTCTCATATAGAACAGGCTCTTCTTAATGGCTGGATTCTAAGCCACCACTGCTGTCCCAAAAGTAAAGAGGGGGTTTTCTTTAAGACAGGCAGGGAAACGGTTTACTCATGTGCAGGTAAATGGCTTCTGGAAGCATCACTGCACAGAAATGGTTCTCAGCCTGCGGCTCACGAATCTTCCTTAGCTTGTTGTTACTGGTATGACTGTCAGAGTTTTCAAATAGGTTTAAAAGAAAGAGATGTCAGTGGGAACTGTAGAGTGAGTCGCGAGAATTTTGTAATTGGAGGTGAACTGATTTTCTATGGCCAACTCCCCCTTCTGATAGAAGTCTTTAGCGTCCCTCCTGGGGGAGGGACGCTGCTGGAGTCCAGGCTGGTGGGGGAGCTGGCAGCGCTGCTCCAGGCTGCGGTGCTGGAGGAGGCTGGGCTGTGGGTGTCCGATGGGTGGACTTGTGGGGCAGCTACCACTTTGGCTGACCTGAAGTAGCTAAAAACGCCGAGATCTGTCAGAGATGGGAGAGGCCTCGGTGCTGGGTTGGGCCTGGGGAAGGAACTTGTGTCTGGGTGATAAGAAGTGACCAAGAGACGTATTAGCCTAGGCTGCCTGTGTCCAGATGCGTTCATGGCCTGCTCGTGAGTTGTGGGAAGGAGAAGAGATGGCAGCTGGCAGCCAGCCATCGTGCGGGGGACGCACAGCCTGAGTCACCCCCGGGGGTCGGCACCGGCAGACTTCTGGGTGTAACGTTTATCTGGGTTACTTGTGTCTGGTTGGGGTCAGTTTGATAACAGTGAGGAAGGACCTCCAGACCGAGTCAGCCCTAGGCTTCCTGCTAGGGAACACCTGGGGCGCCCTCCAGAGCCCACGTTTTAAGCGAAATAAGCCTCCTGCTGAAAGCCTGCGAAGGGTCAGGCTGCTGCCCAGGCATCGTGCCCTCTTGGGTGTCGGGGTCTCAGTGGCTCAGAGTGCTTTGTAAACAGCAGTGGAGAGATGGCAGGGAGATGCTTGAGAATTCCCGCCGGGCCAGCACCAGGCTCTGTTTAGCACCATGGAGATCACAGGCTCCTAAGCACGGTCTGCCCCAGGGCAGAGCTGGAGCTGCTCTTCTCTTAGGGGTTACACGGATGTGTTGTACTGATTTGCCGGAACAATGGACTCCGGTTTCAGGCTGAGAATTCCTAATAAAGTTAAGAAGGCATAAAAATGTCCCCTTTGAGACTAGTCAGGAGTATTTATTCTCATGTAGTTTAATTTGCTGCTCTTGTGGTTTTTTGTGATGTCATCCCACATGTGTAAGCTGGAAAAATCCGCACTGGGAAGCGTAATCTCTATATGCACATTTTGACAATGGAGGTTGCTACACATCTGATTCCATGTGTCAGGAAAACAAACTGTTACACAAAATTTCAGGCGATAAATTTTTCAGTAGGATGCCTGGAAGATTAACCATCTACTTTACTTCCCAGTAAAGTGGGGTCATGTAACCTACAACTCTCAGGAGATGGAGGAAGGAAAGTGACTACCCTTAGGGCCTGCTCTGTGTCGAGGCATGCTGACTTTCTCAGCGAGGGCCTTCTAAGCCCCCGTCAACTCTATTATTCATGCCTATACAATTAAAAAAATATTAAAAATAGACTGCCATTGAAATATAAGCATTAACTTTTGTTTCTATCATCTATGAGGATATAAAAAGGGGGAGGAATAGCTCCCCCCCCCCGAAACAACCTGGTTATTACTTTCCTAAGTTATATTAAAATGAAAGTTATTGTTTAATATGCTTCATTTGATAAATATTGCATTTGGAAGTATTGTTCCTCTAATAATATTATCTGTGTATTGTAAGGGGATATTAGGTTTAACTATGTTCTTTTCCAGAAATAAATTGCGTGGCTCTGGAGAAGCACTTAGTACTGTGGAGAGAGAAGAATGTGTCATCAGCCGTGGCCCCTAAGCGGCCATCGATGATGAGATGTAAGATCACAGCATTAATCTCCTTTAATATCAAACTATTCCTGGTTCTCTGAAATAGAAGCATAGGAATTATAATTAAGGACAGACAAAAAAAGTTCACATCCTCTTCCTTGCACTAGCAGAAGGGGCTACAATGCCAGCTGCAAGGATTTGGGCATCTACGAAGACAATACCCACATGATGCACCATAAAAATTCTGTAAACTTTTCAACAGCATATGTTTTGGCCTTAGTATAGTTACCAAATATAATACCAGTTATAGTAATTCTGTATGTACTCCTCAGCAGTAATAGTTTCTAACATGGCTTTATAGTTTTAAGAAATTAATAAATGTATAATGAACAGTTGCATGCTATAAGAGTTGGAATGTATTAGAGCCGAGTTCCCTTTTGTGTGTGTGTGTGTGTATGTGTGTGTGACATGGATTTTATTGAGTTTATCCACGATCGTGAATACTGTTGCCTGGATACAGTGGGAACACGGGGAAAGTTAAATGCACTCTTGTTTCTGGAAGGCAAACCAAGATTCTTGGTACGTTTTGTCTTTCTGCTTCAAGGCGTAGAAAAACCATTGAAATGACCCCAGATGAAGTCCCTCTCATAAAACAGAGTGGATTATGGAACTGCTGTCAGTTGCCTTCTAATGTGAAAACCAGTCGCACGTGACCCCACTAGAAGGCAGACAGAGGCATAATAGTACTTTACCTTGTCTGAGTCATTTTGTAATTTTCATGCCCTTAGATACAAGCATCTTCAAGATCTCCTTTTGGAAATGGCTCCCCAGTCAGACATCTAAAGAGTGAAAGGCTGCTGCCCAAGACTGCGCTTCGTGACTATTGATCACGACTTTGATTTCCTTATCCCGTTTCTGTGACGCTCAACAGGTAAGTTGTAAGTGCTTAAGAAATAGATTCCGACTCTGTGCCAAAAACATCTTTTAAAGATTTCCTCAGCCAAGTTGGGAAAATAAGATGCCCCAAAGAGAACTTAATAGTAACTTAGGGTTCTTCGTTCAACATGTACTAACAAGGATGGCAGACCCTAACCTGTCCCGATGAGCAGAGCATTCCATTTGGTTGCAGTTTTTGCAAGCCCAGGGATTCTGCCTAATTTTAATCAGTTGAACCTTGTGGTAAAAGAAGAGTTTTATCTACAGAATTGATTCACTAGATCTGGTTACTGGTTCACATCTGAAAATAGTTGTGCTCCACGGAAAGCCTCATCGATCTGTCGGAACACAGAGTCATTGTATTATAGTCGAGAACACAAGGTGGTAATTTGTTTAGCTCCAAGCAGTACAGGGAGATGGAGGTTTGCAGTGCTTGGGCAGTAGCTGTCTTGTAGAAGCACCACCTTTCCCAATCTAAATAAGGTGCTGACGCCAGCACTCCTTAAAGGGCAGCCAGGGAAAGAAGTTCTTGGTGTTTCAAACTTCTCTGCCTGCTCTCCAAATGCTCTCAGGGCTGGTGAGCTCAAGGTCAAGTTTCTGGCTGGCCTCGTGTTCCAGTCTCTATACTGGTGCGGCCACACCTTAAAATTCCTTTCCGCAACCCAGGTTCTCTCCAAAGCTTCCTGGCCAGAAGCCAGGTCCTTCCCTGTTACCCTAGAGCTTCAAGGGATAATAACCCTGGTGGGCCAACCTATCAGCTGTGACAGGGCCCAGGTTATCCCTGCAAGCCAAGCATAGGCTGGACCAGAAGCCAGGCTCTGGCCTGAGAGCAGGGGTTCCAGAAAATCACTCGAGGCTCTACCTGGGGTCTCTTGAGCTGTGTCTGGTACCATAACCACAGCCATGGGTAGCTGCGGAGTTGCTGTCCAATACAGCCTCCTTCAAAAAGTAAACATCCTGTCCAGAATCCCATAAAGCACGATATTTCAAGTTCACTAAACTATTCAAAGCACAAAAAGCCTTCCTTCCATGGAAAACTCAGTGATGGTTTTAAAAAAAACACACAAAAAAAACGCCCACTACAGCGCACTGCGCTGTAGCAAGCATTCTGCATAAATTAATAATTTACAAGTACCTGAGCAAGTAAAAGTATACACAGCACCATAGCACAGCACAGCACCGACGGCAGTAGCTCAAAGTTCTTCAAATCATGGTGTTTGAAACATTAAAAAAATTCTAAAAGTTGGTACAAAAAGTAACTCCAACTGGAGTTGAGAGATGGATAGTGCAAACTTCTGTCTTCACTGTTGAACAACGCTGTTGGCTTGCTTCTCACTTTGCATAGGCGATGTGGGTGGCTCTGGGCACTTGATGGGGCTGTTTGGAAGCAGGTCTGCAGGAAGAGCAACCAGAGAGTAGGAAACAAAACTATAGTTAGAGGCCCTGCCAGCGATTTCTGCAGACACAGACGCCCGGGTTGGAGATGCCTTTTCTTGCACTGTGACGCGCTTCCAGGATCGGACCCCACCCCCTGCCCTGGGGGCTGGAGACCCCTCTTGCTTTCAGCAGGAATTGCAGATCCCAGAAGGGACCTCGCTGAGGGCTGCAGCATCTTCAGCCGTTTAGGACCCTTTCCAAAGCTACTGCTCCCGTCCGTCCACAGGAGAAGAGTGCCATTCAACAGAAAAATGGTGCAAGCCACAGAGGTGAGCCTCACGTGTAGCTTTAAATTTTGTAACAGTCTTAAGTAAAAATAGGTAAAACTAACTTTAGTTATGTTTCACTTAACCCACTCTATCCAGAGTAATAGTATTTCAATGTGTCACCAACATACAGAATTATTAATGATATAGTTGACATGTTGGGGTACTGACGCTTCAAAAGCCACTGTGGGGAATTTCCTGGTGGTCCAGTGGTTAGGACTCCATGCTTCCACTACAGTGGGCACGGGGTCGATCCCTGGTTGGGGAACTAAGATCCCGCATGCTGCGAGGTATGGCCAAAAAAAAAAAAAAAAATCCAGCGTGTATTTGCATTGCCAGCATATCTTATCTTCCACCAGCCACAGTGTGCCCAGCGGCTACTGTATTAGTGCAGCTCCAGAGCAAAGCTGGGCATGTGGGATCCCTCGGAAATGAACATACAGAGGGTTCTCCTTCCAGGAGGAGACCAAAGCCAGCTTGCACTGATGTCAGCAACTGGCCACTGCTTGAGGTCATTTAAAAAGAGAGCCTTCCCCGGAGGATCTAAACAGACATTTCTCCAAAGATGACACACAGATGGCCAAAAAGCACATGACAAGATGCTCAACATCACTAATTATCGGAGAAATGTAAATCAAAACTACAGTGAGGTATCACCTCACACGAGTCAGAATGGCCATCACCAAACAACTCTACAAACAACAAATGCTGGAGAGGGTGTGGAGAAAAGGGAACCCTCCCGCACTGCTGGTAGGAGTGTAAGCTGGTGCAGCCACTATGTTACAAAACTAAAAACAGAGTTGCCGTGTGATCCTGCAGTCCCACTCCTGGGCATATATCTATCTGGAGAAAACCGTAATTCGAAAAGACATGCACCCCAGTGTTCACAACAGCCCGGACCTGGAAGCAAACCTCCACGTCCGTTGACATAGAAATGGATAAAGAAGATGTGGTATATACACAATGGAATACCACTCAGCCATAAAAAAAGTATGAACTAATGCCATTTGCAGCCACATGGATGGACCTACAGATTATCGTACTAAGCGAAGTAAGCCAAAGACAAATATCATCTGCTATCACTCACGTGTGGAATCTAAAATATGACACAAATGAACTTATCTACTAAAACAAAAAGACTCACAGACCTAGAGAACAGACTTGTGGTTTCCAAGGGGGACAGAGGGTGGGGGAGAGAAGTGGGAGTTTGGGGTTAGCAGATGCAAACTATTATATGTAGAATGGATAAACAACAAGGTCCTACTGTATAGCACAGGGAACTATATTCAATATCCTGTGATAAACCACAATGGAAAGAATATGAAAAAGAATATATGTATAACTGAATCATTTTGCTGTAAGCAGAAATTAACACTAAATCAACTATACTTCAATAAAATAAATTTAAAAAGAGAGGCCCTTCCCCTCTCCATGTCAAGTGGTGTTTTTTTCCTTTTGAACAAGAAAAGTAACTGCAAGCTCAGTGGACAAACCACAGGGAAATAATCAGGATGCTCTGGAGTTTTTCTGTACTTGTGTAGTCGGGAATGAAACCACTGTCCTGACCCTTTGACCGGCTTTATCTGAGCTATATTAGGCAGCTATCTCTTTCGTGGGCCAAACATTTTTCCTAAGAGCTGTAATGAAATCATGAGCGTGTAGCATTTCCCTTCAGAGATGCTGAATTACTGAACCCAGGGCCTGGCCAACACCTACCTTTGGTTCTTTGCAGCTCACAAAGCAAGCTGCCTGCTCAGGGGGTAGATGTTTTGGCTGAGGGTTTAACCCATCTGTGTGCTGGTAAATGTTTAACTACCCACCACTGGGGGGAAGGTAAAGATTTAACCATAGCATTTGCTGATTTCCACGGTATAAATACTCATGCTCCCAACATGATGTGACTGAACATGGAAGAGATGTGCAGTGGCCACCATGGCATGGCATTTTCATCACATAGGAATGACAGATACAGTAATCTCAAGAATGTGGGTTGCGAGAACTGCCATATGACCCAGCAATCCCACTACTGGGCATACACCCTGAGAAAACCATAATTCAAAGAAGAGTCATGTACCACAGTGTTCACTGCAGCACAATTTACAATAGCCAGGACATGGAAGCAACCTAAGTAAGTGCCCATCGACAGATGACTGGATAAAGAAGAGGTGGCACATACATACAATGGAATATTACTCAGCCATAAAAGGAAACGAAATTGCGTTATTTGTAGTGAGGTGGATGGACCTAGCGTCTGTCCTACAGAGTGAAGTCAGAAAGAGAAAAACAAATACTGTATGGCTAACACATATATATATGGAATCTAAAAAAAAATAATAAAATGGTTCTGAAGAACCTAGGGGCAGGATAGGAATAAAGACACAGATGTAGAGAATGGACTTGAGGACACGGGGAGGGGGAAGGGTAAGCTGGGATGAAGTAAGAGAGTGGCATGGACATATATACACTACCAAATGTAAAACAGATAGCTAGTGGGAAGCAGCTGCATAGCACAGGGAGATCAGCTTGGTCTTCCTAGAGGGATGGGATAGGGAGGGTGGGAGGGAGACACAAGAGGGAGGGGGATATATGTATACGTATAGCTGATTCACTTTGTGATACAGCAGAAACTAACACACCATTGTAAAGCAATTATACTCCAATAAAGATGTTAAAAAAATGTGGATTGCTGTAAAATATAGTAAAAAAAAAAAAAAATGGAGGTGAGGCGCTTTGAGCATTTCTTTCCTTTGTTCTCAGTGTAACTGGTATCACTGCCAGCTTATATCATTTTGAAGAATGGCTAGGCTTAACACCTAGCTTGCAAAATTCCTAGAAATTAATACTTCTTGCAAAGCAGTGTGGGTCGGCTCCAGCACACCACTGGGTTGAGCCTTGCTGCCCAAGCCCAGATTCAGGGCTGTGCCCTCAACCCCTCGGGGAGGGCGTAGGACATGACCACAGCTGCAGCTGAGGCTTCAAAGGTGATTCCTTGTGCCGGCTGAGGGGGAAGCTCCCAGTTACCCCTGCCCAGCAGCTTCTTTAGCCTGACTTCTTACATTCCCCTTATTTCATCCATGACCCTCCAACCTCACCTCGTGTCTCGGGATCCCAGGGGTTGGGCAGAGGCCATCAAGGTCCAAGTGGGATTTCTGGAGGTAGGTGTCCAGCTTTCATAATATCGCACCACTTGCTGGCTTTCTCTCCCTTGGGGGACGTGACGCAGCCCAGATCAACAGGCACAGCTCTGAGGGATCTGTTCTACTTGATCTTGAGTTGGTCTCACGGGTAGGCTGGGATCATTGCTAAGAGTGACATGTGATGCCTACAATTATAGCTCCCAGCTGCTTCCTGCTTATTCTTTAGATTCGTCCTCACGTCTGTTTTATATCGTTCCCAGGGGTGGGGAGTGCAGGACGCACAGCCGCCAGCGCCACCCCCATGTCCTCCTGTGGCTTGAGAAGCATGGCTCAGTGCAGCTGCGCCCACATAGTTTTGGGGAGAAAAAGAGGGACATGGGTGCATCACACCAACCTGATGGGCGCCCGGCGGAGCCCAGACTCCTGCTGTCCCGGGGTCCTGGCAAGCCGGGTTGTCCTGCTTAAAGGATCTGCAGGCAGAGGCTTCTGAGGAGGGTTTGGCTTACGAGTTCCCTGCAATAAACCACAAGATTATGTCTGATCACCGGCTCCATGAACTCGGACAAGACACTGACCTCAGGAGCTGTTAGAGTCCCCTGGAGAGTGGGATAGAGAGAGCAGAGTGGTTAAGTTGCTACACAGCCCAAGTTTCATTTACTGTAATCTTTCTGAATACGATCATCTAACAGCACAGGTGTGGTGGTGGTGCGTGTGTGTGTGTGTGTGTGTGTGTGTGTGTGAGGGTGGGTGACCTGTGTTAAAGATTTAACCATAGCATCATTTAGTTACAGTCACTCAAATATGGGTCTTCAGCTGCCATGCTGTTCCCAGGACTTGGAAGTATAGTTGATGCTGGTGCTTCTGGGCCAGTGTTACCCAGGGGATGTAAACTTTCCTGTGCTTTTAGGCTTCTTTTCAATTTATAAAGGCCTAACATGAGAAGATGGTGAAAATCTTTTCAAAGAACACATTCATTGCCTCAAATTTGCCAGAATCCTGTAACAGAACTTGTTCAGCTGTGGGCGAACCAGACAATGAAGGTGACCATCCTTCACCCATCAGGATGGGGTCAGTAACATCCCTCCATGAAATACACAAAGGTTCTGCTACCAAAATATTTTCTAATAGTTCATTCAGAGAGTCACAAACTGGCTTGGAAAATGACACCCAGAAGGAAAACCCAAGACACAGTCGTTTGAGGGACAGATATTGTTCTGTAAGGAAGCTGATGGGGGCGGTGCTGTATTGACCAGAGGCCAGTGAGGGAGTTGGCAGAAGGTGGGCAGAGCATGAACTTGGAGTATCTGCTCTGGGTTTTGTACAAATACCAATACTCTGGGACTTGTGCAAGTCACTTGACTTCTTTGAACCTCAACCTCTCTGTCTGTAAAGTGAGAGAAAACAAGACCCATCTCATAGCACTGTTATGAGGACTAAAGTAATGTATGGGAAGCTCCCAGAATATAGATAACAATGATTAAAAGTCACTTGTGGGACTTCCCTGGTGACGCAGTAGTTAAGACTCCGTGCTTCCAATGCAGAGGGCCCAGGTTCGATCCCTGGTTGGGGAACTAGATCCCACATGCATGCTGCAACTAAGAGCTTTCATGCGCGACTAAGGAGCACACCTGCCGCAACTAAGACCCGGCACCCCCCCCCCCCCACACACCGCAAAGAAAAAGGCACTTGTGTTCCTGGGGTCCCTTCCTTGGCTACTGTGAGAGTGGGGCTCACTGGAGCCAGGTTGGAAAGTCAGTGAGTGTTGATAACACTCTCTTTTGGGCCCAGGGTGAACATAGGCATCAAGGCACCACCTGTGCTGGTCCTTGGAGCACAGAAGCACTCACACGTATACAGAAAGTCTGTAGGAAATGGTGCTAGAAACTCAAGGAAGACAGGACATCCTAATAAACAGATGACCTCATACACTGTCATGGAACTCAGTATTCCATACATCCAGAATACTCAAGATGATTTAAACACATACGAGTTGAATTTCTCATAGTAATCATCCCACTAAAATTATATCTCCGCAGCAATCGGAGCTCAGTTAAAAGAAGGCGACAATATAGTCACAATTTAACATAGCTTTATAAAGCAAAGGAAGCTACCACAGGAGTCTGTCAACCACAGCTGTATGGAAAATACAGCAACTTGAAACAATGGGGAAACTGGGATAGGAAGGAGCCACCGAACAAGGAACAGACTTACAAGTGCCATTTCTACATCAGCTCTCATTAATGGAAATATTAACAGCCTGTTGAATGTAAAATAGAACACAACGTTCACTGGAAATACAGACCATACAATGAGCACAAGCACCGAAGTCAGGCTGTTTGTATACCCAACCAGGCTCTGCGCTTACAAGCTCTGAGAGCACACAAGTTATTTAACTTCTTTAAGTTGTAGAGAGGAGATGATGTGAGGGTTCAGGGAGAGATTATCTGTTAATCTCTTAGCATAGAGCCTGGCACACAGCGACCAATACGTGTTAGCTGCTACTGCTTCACAACTACTATTATTGAAGGAGTGAATTCAACCATCTAAAAGCACCATAATCCTCCCAACAAACACTGGGTGATAAACCATGGCACTAAACCAAGCTCCATTTCCTATAAGGTGGTAGAAAATAATGAGCACGCTAATATGTGGATGTAAAGATGAATGCACGCATCCACATCTGAGGATTAAAGAATTCATTACTAAATGATACTACCTTTGCCGCTAAGTATGAATAAATATCTAGTCTTGGTAGTAAAGATAATGTCAGGTTTTTATTACACTACTGGAGAAAAAGTGAGATGTATGTTACAGTGTATCACAATATATTTGGATTTATCACGGAACCTTAGGAGATAGGTTGGCCATTCATTCTGGTTTTGCCTGGAGACATTCCCAATTTACGGCTGTGTTTAATTTATTAATCATAGACTTTCTCATGTGCCCTGGTTTAGAGGACAAATTATATGGTCACCATAGTGATAAAAGCCCAAACAGTGGAGATATTGATTGAAAGTTCTGATTCAAACCTGGGCTCAGCAGAGGCACCAAGCCCCCTCCCTCCTGCCATGCCCATGACATGGTTTTGATGGAAACATGAAACAGGTAGCTGCCTAGGTAAGATGCCAGCTTCCCACCGGGCCCAACTGGGACAAACTGGCATCATGGAACAGCGGGGTTAGTCAAAGATGATGTATCCTCCTTCCTCAGGGACCAGGCATGGAGCCCATGAAACATTTGCACAGAAGCACCAGCTGCATGTGCCTTGACCTTGCAGAAAGGGGTGGGACTTCCACACTCCCTTTTAGGCACTGCTTTTCAAGCTGCCTTTGCAAAACCTGAACCTGGGCTTTCCCAATGACGTCCGATCCAGCCTGGCCACAAAAAGCCATGGAAATGGAGCTGAGGAATGACTCCAGGCCAAGTTGCTCACACTCAATAAACATTTCTTTAGACTGATTTTCATTTTAAACAAGGAAATGAGTTCAGACCCCCATTTCTCTGCCTTCTCAACTTCTAGGTACTGGAGAAAAATCGAGATCTGTTATTAAATAGAGTTGTCTCATTTCTCCATTTTCTGCTCATGTTTCAGCAAAAGCCACATATTTCAAATTTTTTAGAGGGATGAGAACAAATTTTTAGATCCAAACATAGCCCCTTGCTTTGACCATCACAGAGAATTCTCAGCTGTTATCTCCTTCTGCATGATCAGCAAGAATAAGCGCGTCCTGCTTGTCCAGAGGGATCTCCCCAGGAAGACTGGGTATTATCACAGGAAAACGCCAGAGATGCCACAGAGATCCCTGGTGAGCTCGTGCAGGGCCGGGGGGCAGCATAAACACTACTCACCATCTGGCCCATCCCTGGCCCTGTAGAAATACACACTTCACGATAACACCAAGGACAACTGATTCTCTGGGAAATGCCTCAACTTCTTTTTACTCTTTATTCAGAAAAAGCAGAGGTCCTTTAAAGAGCACTTTTACACCTAGCTGGAAGATGTCCCTGGTCCCTTCTTTCTAAAACCACCTGAAAACAGTAAAGAAAATGCACAAGAAGGAGCAAAACTCCACCTCTGAGAAAAATGTATAGCCCCACATGAATATATGAGAAAAGGATGCAAAGTGTCCAGCAGGCTGGGCTGAGGAGAGACCACGGAAGGGACACCTACGTGGCCAACCTGGTGAAATGCAGAGGGGGAGACATCCACCTTGCCTGCCGGGGATGAGAGTACAGAGTGAGCAGATGATGTATGTGTGTCAGGGCTGAAGGAGCAGCAGATGAGCCCAACCATCTGTGCACACCTGGAGCAGGGGAGGGGACCTGGCAGGGTCTCTGCCGAAATCAGGGGAGGCCAAACCACCACTATCCCTCAAAGCTCTCTGTCCCATGGCCCCCCATGAGGTGGGCAATTTGGAGGTGGCCCTGAGTTCTGACCTGGCCTTTCCCCCAACTGTCCTGCAACTGGTTGTTTTTTCCAGGAAGACCTCGCTTTGTTTAAAGAGGAATTTAGATACATTAATCAAAACTACTGAAAGAAGGAAGGAAGGAACCATGATAAACAAAAGGCAAACTAAGAAGCCACTGGCAAAAATGTATACATAAGGACATGAAAAAGAAGCTGGCAAAAGTCAAGTGAAAAGGGAAAGGAAAAAATAAAGCAACAATGCAAACCAAGGACCAAGATGGTACTGAACACAGTCAGCGCTGTGGGGACCAGCTTGAGGGAAATGAGGAGAAGTTCAATGGTAAATGACAAAGACCACAGACAAAGGTGATACAACATATACATAAATGGTGTCACTTACGGGATCTGAACAAACAGTAAAGAGAGAAGAGATACCCAGATTTATTTTGTAAAAACTTTTCTGAAAGAGTCAAGCCTATGGATTGAAAGTGTACAGTGTTTCCCTGGGTGAAATGAATCAGACTCATCAGAATTAAGACATAATTAATAGGATACAGAGTCATGTCACTTACAAGGAAAAAAGAAAGAAGCCAGCTTCTGATTTCTTCAGAGCAGACAGAGGAAGCATGCATCTAAGAGTTTCAGGGAAAGAAAGTGTGATCCGTTAATTTTATGCCTAAACTGTCATTGAAAAAAATAAAGCAACAGCCAAGTGTCTTTGAACATACAAAATTCAGGGAATATACCTCCTAAGAGCTCTTCTGGAAGGAATTCTGGAAGTCCAATAGAATGAACTTCAGCCGGCCAGGAAAAGAATGGCTCAGTGGCAAGGAGATTAAGCACTAAATCCCTTCAATGTAGACCTAAGGGTAACAAAATTGTGGGAATTATGGCTACAAAACAGAAAGTAAATGTTATTAGCCATAATAATACAGACATTCTAGAACTAACCAAAGTTGGGAGGTGGACCATCCATTTCCAGATATATGGCAGGCTGAGTTATTTTGACCTACCTTCTCTCTAAAATTGTTGGATAAAATGTATTTAATAGAAGAAATGGACAAATTCTTAGTAAGGTACAATCTCCCAAGACTGAATCAGGAGA